CCCAGGGCCTCGTGCTTGCCAGGCAGGTGCTGTACTGCTGAGCTGCATCCCAGCCCTTCCACATTGTTTTGTGGTTTTTTTTTGTTTGTTTGTTTTTTTGGTTTTTTGTTTTTCTCCAGTACCGGGAACCGAACTCACGACTTTGCGCTTGCCAGGCAGGCGCTTTTGTCGCTGAGCTAAATCCCCAGCCCCCTTCCACATTGTTTTAATAGTTTTCCCAAACTAAAGCTCCCTGTGTAGAAGGTTTAAAAGAAAAGAGTGTTTAGTTCAGTTTTTCTGTTAGAATTGTCTTCTCTACTTTCCTCCGGCTTCTCCACAGGCTGAAAGTGCTTTACCTCATTTTTTTCTGTTTGTTGTAAATCTTCAACAAAAATTGTTGAAGGGAGTTTAGATATATCCTAGCTGTATAACTCGTAATTAAGCCTATTGTGGTTTCCGAAGGTCTTTGTATTAGCTGGAGAGTTGGGATGTATGAGGGAGAACATTGTTTATTATGGTGCAAGCCCTTTCCTTTGGACAGCTTACTGCAGAATCAGATTATAGCAGTTTGGGGTAAGAGATACATATGTAGTCATGGAAGTTAACGTGTACCCCTAGACATAACTCTCAGTCTCCCTAAGCCTCCTCTGGTGACTTATCATATTCTGGGACAGTTCCTTGGTCTGTCTGGATGAGGCTGAGAGGATGAGAGGATGAGAGTGTGTATGTCTATCCTTCCAGAGCGCTGAACTGTCGCCTCTTAAACACCATAGTCTGGGAACTGGTAGGTAAAGTCAGGGAGAGCTATATAATTTAAAATCTTGTTTTTCTTTTTTTTCATTAATTGTTTATTGGTACATTTTAGATATACACAATGATCACAGTCATTATAGGGAATTTGTACCTGTACATGATATATCTTTTTTTTTTTTCTTTTTTTTTTTGGCTTTTTGAGACAGGGTTTCACTATGCAGTTCATGCTGGCTCTGAACTCACTTTGAGGCCCAAGCTGACCTCAAACTCACAGTGATCCTCCTGCCTCAGCCTCCAAAGTGCTAGGATTACAAGTGTGTGCCATCACACCGAGCTTGTACATGATATATTTTGAATCTTTTTTTTTCTTTTTTTTTATTTTAAAGAGTAAAACAAGGATAACATAATAATAGGGGGGACTTAGCATATTACAGACAAAATGGTAGGAAATTATCAATGGTTATCGATTTACATATTATTATCTACAAAATAGTTTCTCAGGAAAACAAATAGACAAATAATAG